TAGGTGGAGTTTGGAAAGAACCATCCTGCCTGCCCCATCCTTTGTAATCAGCAGGAAAAATGGTGCCATTCCCTTGTAAGGATGCTTGTAAAGAAGAGATGTTCTACTCCTTAGCTTCATGAAATGGCAGGAGAGACTGCAAGGGGAGAGGGGGGCGGGTGTGCTCTTTTCCTCTCCAGAAGTTCGGTTTTGGCATTTTGTGAAAGAAGCATGCTGGAGTTCCTCCTCGAGAAGAGGCAGCTGCGATAAAAGCCAAGACTGAAGAATGCAATGGTGTGGGCCAAACAGAGATTGTTAGCCTTTGGGGAGCAGCTGCTGGCTGCTGACTCTGTTCTGGCTCTGTGGTAAGACACAGCCTAGAAATACAGAAGTGTAGCGCTCATTGAAAGTTTCTGATGAAAGTATTTTCCAACAGAAAGTACTGAGGTTGCTTAAGTGACTCGTTTTGTGAGAAGTGGGTTCTGGCTTTGGGAAATGTTGTTTTTCATTAAATGACAGAGCATATGCAAAACAGTAACACATTGATTTGGCTAAAGTGCCTTGCTAAAGTCTATTTTAGTTCTTGTGTTCACATCCTCTTCTCTGAGATGGGGAGACTATAGTGGGTCCTGAGAGACATGCCTTGATGCATGGAGCCACCTTGGACAAGAAAGCGGGAGCACAACCAGTGGACTTCGGTTTCCATGCAGCAGGGCATCAATTTGACAACGTTAAATTTTTGAACTTTCTGGAATGTTTTCATTTTTATGAAACCTCTCATTTTTGCCTTTTTTTCCCCAAAGAAATTAGACAATTTGCTTCACCCCCCATCATTTCAGTGGCAGTGCTGTCATTAAAACTTTGTTTGGGAAAAGACATTTTGGATTTGGAGATTTCTTTAGGGCTTAAGGCAAGGACCAGACTAGCTTTGTGATGAATTTCTGTCGGCCAGGCTGGATGCAGAAACGGGAGGTGCCCAGCGTCCTATTTAGGTTTCAGGTTTAGGTTTCAGTTTAGATTGACTGGTAACTCCCAGTCCCCGTGGATGGCAGTGCTGCTTCAAGTAGCAAATGTGAACTGCTTTCCTGAAATAGCCTCAGCCGTCCCCTGCCCTGAGGTTAGCCTGGAGGGCAGGACACCATGGCCATGGAGGACCCTGTGAGCGTCATTTAGAAGAGAAGCGGAGTTGTGTCTTTAGATGCTATTTCAAAGTTGAAAAAGTTATTTTCCCTTGGTTCTTCAGCCAGATCTCCTGTATTCATGGCAACAGTGCTAAAATATGCCGGACAAAGGAAGAGCAATCCTTGAGTAAAGGGACGGGATGTAAATAAAGTGTTCTTAGTCAACCTGGCTGGCGCTGTGCTGAACCATAGCTATATGCGAGGCTGCCTTCTCCGGAGCCACTCGCATGGCCCATTAACAAGATTCCCAGTACTCCAGGAAGGTTTAATTTGAGAACAGTGGTATGTCGGTGCACGGAGCCAAATCAGGTCTGGTGCTGTACTCCAGGAAATAAGCTGCCCTGGCTGCCCAGAGCACAGGGGAGTGTGCTGGAGCGTTAGCTTTGCTGGAGACAGCTCAACTCCAGCTGAACGACTCAGTTCAGCAAAAGCCAAGCAGCCCTAGAAGCACAATGGAAGCATATCTGAGTTAGTAACCCAGCTTTTTACCTCTGCATGGGAAGCATTTCTGCAAACCTATCCTGGCAGAACTGAGAGTTGAGTGTTTATTTAAAATAAGTGTTAGATTTTATTTTGTGTGATCTTGACAGCCCGCCCACTGGTGGGGTTGAACGTTTGGGATCCATTATACTTTGGAAAGTCTTGATAGGCTCAGCTCACATGTTTGAATGTTCTCAAATATCTTCAGGATCACAACCGAAATTTTTAAGGTGAGGCTGAAGTAAATAGAACTTTCAATTACATGTAATTGGATGCAGGAAAAAGTGTTTCAAGTAAAGAAAATTCAAACACATGTTTAAATGCTTTTTGTAAATCCTCTTGACATTGTGAAGAATTAAGATGTTATTGCTCGTTTAAATGTGAAATGTCTCCAAAGGCACATCGGTATTGTTTTATAAGCTATATGTATTTCTTTCAAAAAACTATTAATTTAGGTAATACCTGTCTCCAGTAACAAAAGGAGACCATTAATTAGCAGAAATAAATCTATCACAATGAGAACTAAAGGTTTCTGTGATTTTCTACATTAAAAAAGTTGTATTGAGGAGGTGGCTAATTGTTTGTTCCTTATGAATCAGATGTGGAGACACATGAAAGATAAGTACATTCCTCTCCTCCCCACCATGTCTTCTGTAGCCTCTTTTATTTGGGCTATTTATCTGCAAAGAAGAAGGAAATCAGAAAGAGCATTAAAGAAATTGAGTATAGTCTTTCATAGCTCAGCCAAATTTCTAATGAACAGATTTCTCTGGGTCAAAGCCAAGATCTGTGTATCAGTTTGGACGGGTAAAAGCTTTACAGTTGTGTATCTGACTGCTGCACTGGCATCTGTGGGAGGGAAGAAACCTTAAATGTATGAGTGGGGATCATTTGGTTATTTATGTGTATAAAGATATGATCCGATACATATGTCAAAGTAATTCCTGTTGACTGACTTCAGAGAAAATGCATTGTAAATCCAACTACTCGGTGTGCTTGGGATTTTGATACAAAGGTAGCTGCTGTGGAGCTTTTTGAGGGGCTGTCAGACTATTTTTCAGTCAGGCTGATTTTCTCTGGTTTTAATTAATTTAAGAAAAGTTGTCTTTAGAAAAACAAACAACAAACAACACTCCTCCTTTCCCTTCTCTTCCCTTTCCCAAAGCAACCCTCTGTATGTGGGGACATACCATGTTAATGTCTTAAATAAGCAGGATGCATCCAGAAACGGCATTTGTAGTTGATTTTTTTTTTTTAGTAAAGTTCATTTTACCACAAAGTACGTCATTGCTGAAACTGAATTTTTGTAAGAGGTTTCATCTTTACCAACTTTCCTACCACCAAATTCTGAAGCTACTATTTTTAAAATGCTTTTAGAAGTGTTATGTCGGGTGTTTTTTTTAAACCCACAGCTATCAAAGTTTCTTGATTTATTGTTATCATGGCCATAGCAGCAATACAGATGTATTTTAAGTATTCAGGGATGGAAATGGCCTTAACTGCTGCCACGAATGTCTGTCTTGTTCTTCATTGTATCATGATGATTATGGAAAAAGAGGCACAGGGAATTATTACTTATTCAGAACCAAGTCTGTTTATCTGGAAGAAGTAGATGTATATATATGTGTGTATATATATATATGTGTATATATATATATATACTGAAAGTGGTACTTTCACTGCCTGCCATGGCCAGCCTTGGTTAACTGATGCCCTTACTGTGGGGCACTTACCAGTGCTTCCAGTCTCCTGATCCTATGGCAGAGAAATTTGATCCCATTTTACAGATGAGGGATTGAGGAGAAAAAAGACCAAATGGCTTCCCAGGGCAATACGTGGCCTGTGTGACAGGACTGGATGTTGGATACAGCTGATGTTGTCCTCCGCCAGAATCTTGGCAGAAAGTGATCATCCTTTCCAAAGCAGATGAAATTTTCCTCACCGAGACCGCACAATTTTCGGTATTTGGTTTCTTCCTGTTCTCTGTGAAGTACAAACTGTAATAATAAAGACTAGACAACTTGAGGAAGATGTCTCCCAAATTAGCAAGCTATGGTTTCTTATGGAAAACCAGCATCTGAGCCATTGATGAAATATAGCAGCCCAGGAGAATAAAAGGCTTACCAGGGTTCGGAAGACCTCCATTTACATAAATATGCAGAGACATCTGTTACAGTCATGAGTGACCTGCTGGTTTAAATCATCAGCAGGGGGAACTTGTAGTCGATCAGCATTGCCTGCTGTAGCAGGTGCTACTTTAGGCAACAGGAATTACTGAAGAGGTTTTCGATGAACAAAGACCTTTCCGCTTGCCAAGAAGAGACATACGGGAAATTGAAACAAATGGCTCACGCCTACAGTCTTTCATTTGTACACGACGAGAGCGTAGTGTGTGCTTCTGCATCCAAACCTTTCCATGATTAGTTATAGGTATGGTGTGGCTGACAAAGTTGCAAAGTTTATGTCTGAGAAGTACTTACGGCTTTTAAAACCAAACTACTTCAGTCAGATTCCCGAACAGAAATGAATCATCGAGATTTAATGGAAAATGTTCAAAACAAATTTATCATCTAAAACCAATGTTTTTGTTATCAGAGTATATGCCCAAAATAGTAATGCAAAGCTGTCATCCTAAAGGTTACAGTTACTTAAGTGAATAATTGAAATTTAATTCTCACTCACCATTAATCAGCAGAGACATTATGACATTATTACTTTATATAGTGCCAGAATATTTGTATTCCTTGTAGTTCACAAGTTATATGGCATTCTCTTTTTTTTTTCTTCTCTCTCTCTCTCCCTCCACCCCCAGTAATAAAATTCGTAATCTCATCTTAAATTTAGATTTGTTTCTATTTTATGGAAACTTCATTTAAGTTTGCTGCATAACATAGTTTTGTAAGGCAGGAATCTGTCTTTTCAGTGGATGGACTACTGGACAGAAAACTAGATTACAAATTTGGGGCTGCAAAAGGGTTATGATTTGGTGCGTAACATATGACTGTAACTGCCATCAGTTTTGAAAAGAAAATGCTTACACAGTGAAAAGGAGTGTCCAAAGAACCTGTAGTAAAGCCACAGAAGTAAAAAGAGTTGACATTTGCAAAGGCTTCCGAGATGTAAAATGCTCCCTTGGACTCTCTCATATATGTTAAATACTGCTCTTTAATTATAATAAAAGGTACAGTACAGCTTGACTACTTGATTCACAGTATTTCATGGGTGCCTCACATTGGGATGTAACAGCTCTAATAACTCTATGAGACCTTTAAATACCTTAATAATTCCCACCTATATTTTGATAACAAATTTCATAATAAAGATAAAACAAAACCTGTTCTTTTCTTTCCCTTTGAACAGAGCGTGGATCACACTTCTCGTAAACCTCATCATATTGAGGTTGGGCTAAGATGAGCATAACCAGTGACGAAGTGAATTTCTTGGTGTATCGCTATCTCCAGGAATCGGGTAAATTTCCTGTCTTTCCTCACAACTTCAGGTCATAGATGAAATGGAGAAATGGGCTTTTTGCATGGTGTTGCTTTAGGAATGTTGCATTGAGCGTTTCAGGCTGATAGACCAAATATTTCTTGCACAAATCCAAGTTTCTTTGAAAACATGGTCTTGAACATAATAAAAGTAGAAGCATACGCAGGTACAAAGTAAACATTGAGTTAGACAAAACAAGGAAATAAATAACATTATGTTAACAAGTGTTTTTGTACAGTTATATCATCTCAGCCAGAGTAATTTTTGGCAGCACAGGCACAAAGCACATGGATTTTGTCTCTTTTTTTTAGCTACTTGAAATAGTTCTGTCAGATACATATTAAGTAAAGAGGGATTGTCTAAATTAGTTTTATATTGGCTGTAAACAGAAATTTGGGTGCTAGCATCTGATATTTTAGAATTAGTGTAATTATGTATGTAAAATGAGCTGCACAAGTGTCAGTGTGGCCCTGGCTTAGTATTGCTTCCATCTTTTATCTGTTTTCATATCAGAAAAAAGTGTCTTTACAGGGCTTTTCCTTTTAGAAGGAAAGCTTCATCTTTCCTTCAAAAAACAAAAATTGAAATAGAAACTTAAATTTAGAGTCTATTTTAGTTTCATAGTCTTGATTCCACTCTTTGACTGCAAGAAGTAGAAGTTCTCTTCACTGATGGAAAATGTTCTGTTAGAGAGATGGTAGGCGAGATGAGAAACATTGACAAAGGATTTGTAGCCAGGATCCCATTTACTTGATACTGGCCCTATGTTGTGGTAAAAGTAGAATTGACTAAAAATATTTGGTGTTTCATATGCTGAAACAAACAAACAAACAAATTCTGTGAAAAATGCATGTCTTCCTGTCAGAAGACTTGAAGCCAGTTTTACAATAAGCCCTCCAAACTTGGATGTCTTGGACAGAGGACCAAGATCCCAGCAGGTAGAAGATACCTGGTTATCCTCCTTTGTTGGTGATTATAACTAGCATTCATTTGATACATTATTTTGATTTGTTTCTTCTACTTCCAAGACTATTTAAATCCCAGGAACCCAAATCCTTGTGCAAGGAATCTCCACTGAAATTGAGAATAAGATTTCCAATACTTTTTAAGGATTTGGTCTTCTAAAACAGTTCTTTGAGAGTTCAGTTGTGGCCTGTGTTAGTAGTTGTTTTCTCACCTTGTATTTTTTTCTCTTATAATGGAGCTTATAAAAAAATAGTCTAGTTCTGGCATGCAATCAGGTGAAAAAAAGATAGGAACTAACAAAACTAAGATTTAATTCGGACAGTTTATTTTTAAAAATAAGCTATTGAATACCACACTGGAAAGCACTTTTGAACAATATAGCAGTGTGCAGATGGACGTAGTTGAAGCCTAAAGAATCCTGAAATTGATTTACATTGTTATATTTGCATTGTAGGAGATTCTACGTAACAGTGTACGAATACAGTAACTTTTCCTGATATGAAAAAAGAAAACCAGCCCTTTTTATTCCTCTTTATAGATCAGTGGGTGGGTTAGTATTGTGTAGTGATTCAGAAGGAGGCTTTAGAAAGTGAATCAAGAGTGGTGGTATCAGCCAAATGTCAGGAAAAAGTTCTCCTACATAACCATCTTCCACAAGCAAGCAGTCACTTTTGCCATTTTAGGGAGAACTTTACGTACAAATTTTCATATCAATTGCAAGTTGTACTGCTCTTACCTTCTTATGTAAAGGGCCAAATGTTTTTCTTATTTAATCCACACATACTGAAGGCATTCACAATAACATTGTATTTCCACTGTTCTGTTCTATTTTACCCATATAAGAGAGTAGAAGTTGAGGTTAAATGTTTGAAGAAATACTCAAATATGCTTCAAACTGAGCATATTGAAATCTAGATGCTAGGTATTGATTTAGTAGATATATTTAACAGCTTGCTAGTAATTCCATTCAGCAAATAAGAGCTATAACCAATGATGAATCCACTAATTATTTAAAAAGCTTCTTACATTTAGTTTGAATCTTCTTTCATACTGGCATTCTTTTTTCCAAAGAGATTTTTATATCTGTATTTTCAGATAAAGTAAGGGAATAAGACGGAAATTGTTATACAGCATCTTGCCTTTCCGCCTGCTAGTATAAATGCCATAAGATGTGACAGCAGATGAAAGACGTTTAATCGATAGCTTCAGAAATAATGCATGCCAAATTTAGAGGACTAGTGTTCAAATACAGTTTAAGTTGAAACCCCTACAGTTTAAAGACGTTTGCCAAAAACAAGGCTATTACATTGATTATTTATTAACATTAGCTGAACCCAAAGCTTCTAAAAATTATATCAGACACAGTCGTGAATGTTGCTTACAAGACCATACAAAAGTTCAATTTTTTTGGGGGGGGTATCTGTCCTTTGATCTTATCCTGTAAACCTTCCAGGCTTTCCCATAAAATGTTGTAGGCGAATGGTGGGAGGAAGAGAGAAACTACAAAAGGAAATACATAGGGGAGAACAACTGTATAAAAAGCAAAATGTCCTTATAATACTTCAAGTATTTTGCAGCTGCAAGGCACAGAAGCACTTGAGATTATTTGAAACATTATAGCAAAGATACTGATGGGTGCTTTACACTTCATTATGAAAATACTGGCAGGTCGTTCTAGTAGAAGTTCAGCTCTTCTAAAGTTGAAGTTAGAAGTGAAATTCAAGAATTTCCTTCATATTTCCTCCATAATTCTCTGTCAGACTGGAAACATTGCACAGTAGAGTATTAATAGAGTTGAACTGTCTAAATCATTATTGCTGCTTTTTAACAAATGTTGGCATACCAAGGGGAGTTGCAGTGAACTGGAAAAAGCAAATGTTGTGCCAGAATTTTTAAAGGTTAAACAAGATGATCCAGGTGACTATAGGTCAAGCAAAATCATTGGAAGTTTGAAACTAGATACCTCCACTAAAAGTAGAGAGATGACATCATGCCTAATGCCAGCCAGCAAGTTTTTATGGATAATAGATCTTGTCGAACAAACTTGATACTACTTTTTCCAAGATCACAAATGAAGTTGACAGAGAGCTGTGCTGACAATAATACACTTAGACTACTTTATGACATTTACTTAGTCCTCTTGACACTGTGGTTAAAAACAAAATGAAATAACAGTGTGTAAAATCAGTGTAATTCAGGGTTACTGAATGGATTAAAAACAGGCTAACAGAAACATCTTGAAAAGTCATTAGAGTTGGGGAATATTCATCTCAAAGGTTGCTTCTAGTGGGAACTCACAGGAATCTGCTCTTGGCGTAATACTGCTCAATAGCTTTATCAGTTACCTGGAAGGAAATATAAAATGATTCCCAAGTACATTTGCAGATGGAATGAAATGGTAAATTGTGGCACTTGGTGAGTTATACTGACGGGTCATGTGGTTTAACAGAGGAAAAATACAGCCAGGGAGACTGCTTTGAGTTGCCTGCTGCTGGACAAGCAGGCTGAAGAAGATGCCTGGTCCAGGGCTGGTGCAGTCAAATCCCTCCAGTACAAGACAGGACTTGGACAAGTTAAGGCTCTTAATTGTGTAGCTGTATTAAAATAATTAATTAAATAATTGCCTCTTCACATAGGTGACTGTCTCAGGGCTTATCTATGTGCAGAAAAACAAAGCAGTCAGGTGTAATTTCCATTTACGCTCCATGGGTTGACGGCATAGAAATTCCACCACTAAGGTGGCAAGGTGTTGTCACTGTCACTGTAGGACCATGAATGCTCCCTTTCTTGAGGTGTGAAGAAATTGAGTGTTTAACTTCAGTTTAAGATTGTTGCTTCCCATCCAAGAGTCAAGCCGTGCAAGTTCGGTTTGCTCCTTTTTGAATATGAGCTTTTTGGTGCACAATTTGAAGCAGCCCAATTCTTAAAAGTGCTGAGTACTTCCAAGCATTGTTTATCTCGGGAGTCAAACTTTTAAAAGTCAGGTTATATTTATTTGTAGCTGTCTTGATTCAAAGACTACCTTTAAGTGAAAATGTTGGCCTCAGTTACTAAATCGGGCTGAGGTTATGTCTACACTATGAGTGTACTACCGGTGTGGAGATAGGAGCGCAGAAAGTACTCCTGAGGTGGACATAGTTATACCAGCAAAGCAGATGCATTGACAAAACTGAAACAAGCTATACAAAAGAAGCCACAGTTCTGGCATCCAAATTATGTTAATTCAGCTTTGCACCTCTTCAGACTCCTGAGAAGCGTACTTTTGCTAGCAGCCATCATCACTGCTGACATAGTCCTTCTATTGGTTTTCTTCAGAGTGCAGAGCTGTGTTTCTGAAAAACCATATAGATTTCAGAATGCAGAGTTTTCCTCTTCTGCTTTGTCTGCCCAAAAGAGAAACAGGTAATCTTTTGTCTTTGGAATGAAGGTCAGAGCAGTACAATGCAATGGGAGTAATAAGGATTCCAAGGAAAATTGAAAAGAGGTGAGGGGAGGAATGGCAAAACCAAGGGAAACAAAGTCTCTCACATACCTTTTAACCTAAAATATGCTGCCATCTGTTGTGAGTGACAAATCCTGTCACAGATCCAAATGCTACAATAAATTACCTTCCCTACCCAGCCCAACATGTCAATTCAGTTATTAAATGTTTTTCAGATTTGGTATTTTTGATGCATTGATCCATGTAATTGCGTTCCGTTTCTACCACTTGCATGCATGTTGCAGTATAGAATCCTTATCTGAAAATCAGCTCCCCAGCTGTCTGCGGCTTACTGCTCTCGAGTAGGGCATTTATTGTAGTGGATGTCTGGCAATGACTTGTTAAAGTTGTGTAACCGTTTCCATTTTCACTCATACTTTCACTGTTTGGTTTGAATTTTTCCATGTTTTATGACGTACGCTTGATAAACTGTTCCTCAGTGTACAATCTGTACCACGTCCAAGGCAATAAAAACACTAGCTGGATGCTTTTGCTAAAAAAGATGTCAATGAAACTTTTAGCTGCTGACTTG